TTCACCAGAGACAGAGCGGGGAGCAGAACAAGCAGATCGATGAAGTACACTGCTGAGGGGAGCAGCGGGCGGGTCAGGAGAGGTCTGCAGCGCCATGTGGGTCAGCTCCAGTGCTGGAAATTGGACTCGCACTGAAGCGGCTGCTGCTAGCTTACAGTGCTGCGCTCTAACCCATTGCACCACCAGGGAGGACCCATAAATACATATATATATATTTTAATGTATCTTTAAAAGCACCCCTCTGTTTATTTTTCCTGGACTGACTTAAGCGTAAAACACTGCCTTCTAGCTGCCCCTACTTTGGCCTCTGTCACTCACTCACCTGCAACCACCTTTCTCTGCTTTCCCCTGCCCTTGGGTGCCCCACTCCCATACCTAGTTTTATTTCTCCCACCCCTTGTCCATGCCACAGCTATCTTGTTCTCCCCCACCTGCTCCCCAGGCCAAGTCCCTGCCCAGGTGAGCCCTCACATAGGTAGAGGAGCAGAGATTGCCCTCTGTGTCCAAGGCCAGGAAGCGGGCACTGCTGGGCACTGTCTGTCGCCAGGCCATCAGCCTCAGCAACACCAGGTTGGCAGCCTCAGAGATGAAGCCGGCGATGGAGTGCCAGGGAAAAAACGACACTTCTGTCTTCACTTCCTGTTCAGGACAAATCAGATCACAAAATTGGATCGGGGCATCAAACTGGGGAGGGCTGGAGAGGGTTTGCACCAGCTGGGGTTCCCAGTTTGGTTTCTTGGTCAAACACAGCCTGGTCCCCGCTACTGAGGACCAGTAGGGTCCCCCAGCAGGGTCCACCCAGCTTTCTCCTTACCTCACCGTCCTTGATAATTCTGGTCATGGCCATTTGATCCCCTTGCTTCAGCAGATTTGTCTTCCGTTCCATGGGGAGGGGACGGAACTAAGGGCCAGAGCAGCGAGGGGAGGATCAGGGACTCCCCAGATTATAGACAAGGATCCCCACTAAGGCTATGTTGTCAATTCTCCTTTATAAAGGAAATTTGGATAGAGAACCTTCCATAGATGATAAAGCTCAAGAGTAGAAGTCGAAAAAAGAAAAGGGGCCCTCCCCGGTGTGGCTAGGAGTTAAAGCACAGCAATATGAAGCTACCTGTGGCCGCTTCAGCAAGAGTTGGATCCCTGGTGGGGTTGCTGAACCACATGGCACAGCAGACCTCTCCTGTCTCCCCGCTGCTCCCCTCAGCAGTGTA